GCTGCTTAAACCGGCTGTTTCAGCGACAAAAAGGATCACGTGATCAAAATGGGCGTTTGATATTCGTCAATTTTGACCACATGATTCTTTTTGTTGCTGAAACAGCCGGTTTGAGCAGCTTGTAAAAATTTACCCTTAGACGTACCGTAAGAATTAGCCAATGGATGAGTGTATAGAACAATTCAACCAATCGTAAAGGCTCGTCTACAATACACGGAGTAAGAAGTAAGAGTAAGAAATTGACCAATCACAGTCGAATGTGAGAAGAATAATCGACTGTGATTGGTCAATTTCTTACTCTTACTTCTTACTCCGTGTATTGTAGACGGGCCTTAAGCGTTTGTAGTTTCGGAGACGTAAACTTAAGCCGGTAAGCCAATTAGAATATTACTTTAAAGGGAAATAATATTATGGTAACCGGTTTTGCAGGTAATTTGAGAGAATAAAAAGAAAGAACATAAATTAAGGTAAATAATAACGAAATTGTTATTAGAGATTTACTCGAAAGTGAAAGTGAGGTTATTTGCTATATATTTACAAGAAAATATGTATATTTGAATGTTTTTATTTTGTGTATATTAGTATCGTTCATATAAAATATTAAAAGGTGATAAGCTTCTTTGCTGTTGTAAAGATATTTATATACTTTTATTTTAACATTTATCATTTGTTATCATGTCACACAATACGCTAATATGAATCTTAAGCAATATTATAAAGATAAATCTTTTAAAATATATCAACTTGTTATTCTGTATATACAATGATTTTATTAATAAAAAATACAATTTATGAAAATATATTTAATATAATATTATAGATCTTTAAATGTTTATTTAAATTACAGTAAATTGTCTGTATTATCTTGTCAAACTATACGCGGAAGCTTTGGACCAATTAATACAAGCTTATCCGGATCATTCTATCGAGGAACTGCCAAAAACAGCACTCTTATAGTTGAGACAATTACCAATAGACATACACATTACAGTAAGTAGCTATAATAATGTCAAATAGATATATAAGATGGGTAATTATTCAGAATACCTCCCTCACCTCCGATTTCGATAAAATTAGGCTCATTCGACGCGTTTTTGCATGAAAC